TCAAACTCAGGTTACCCTGCTCAGTGGCAAGCCACGTCACCTGCTGAGCTATATCACAACAGCCCAATAACCAAATTGAAAGAAACCACTAAGAAGTTACCAAAAAGCTGTCTCTTTTGGGCAAATGAGACCTTTTTTTTAAATTTTAAGATCCTTAAAACACCTAGTGTAGGATGACTAGGCCCTTTTGGAATAGAAGCAGCTGTTGGCTGTGTCTTAAAATAGATAAGAAAAGGTATTGACAAGGAAGTGGGAGGTCCTTGGACTCCCCACAGGGCAGGGAACCCTGACTGCTCTTTGGGCTGACTAGAGAGGGGGAGTTGATTGGGGGAGGGGGAGGGAAATGGGAGGCGGTGGCGGGGAGGAGACAGAAATCTTTAATAAATAAATAAATAAAAACAATAAAAGAAAAGGTATTGACTTGGTTTTCTATAGTTTCTGGGATGCCCACTCTAGCCAGGTACAATCTTTTTCATCTAAGAAACAGAGTACAAGTTAGCTATAACATCAACTTAACATAGCCTAAGATCACCTTTTAATTTTTTTTTAAGATCACCTTTTAAAAAAGATAATTTTAATGAAGAATTATCTAGATCACGTTGTCTTGTGGTCTTATCTGTGAGGGGCTGTTTTAATTGCAAATTGATGTAGTAAAACCTAGTTCATTGTGGGGGACTCCATCCCCAGACCGGTATAAGAAAGGAGAAAGGTAGTTAAAAGCAATCAAGAATGTATTGCTTCTTTGCTCTTGATCTTGAATGTATGTGACTAGCTGCTTGAGTTTCCCTTGGTGACTGACAGTAACTTAGAACTTTAAGTCAAATAAATTTGTTCCTCCCCTATGCTGCTTTTGGTCAGGATATTTCATCGTGGCAACAGGAATGAAACTAGGACAACAGGGCAGGGCTACTGAAATTTGTCAATTTACTACCAAAATGTTCCCGACTGACATACTAAACTCTAAATAAGAGTACACAAGAATTCATACAAATAATTTCTATAAGATGCTGAAAGTAAAAACATGCCTAAGAGCTGGAGAGATGGCTCAGCACTTGGGAGCATGTATTGCTCTTCCAGAGGACCTGATCCAGTTTCTAGCACCCACATTAGATGGTTCACAATCACCTGTAACTCTAGCTCCTAGGGGATACAAACCTCTGTGGGCGCACACGCACACACGCACCTCTTGGCTACACGCACCTCTTGGCTATCTCTTAAAGTCTTCCTTTCTAATAACTGAGGGGTAGGCTCTTAAGTGTGGTTTACTTTATTCATTTTCTAACAATAGTACTCATTGTTATATAAGAGTGGATTTCAAAGATGATAAATTCATCCCACCAGTGTTCAATGCAGCTTTCTGGATAAACTCTCCCCAGGAATTTTTTATGTATAGCTATAGTTACAGATACAGATTAGCAGAAAGCAATTTTTATATTCTTTTTCTGAGTGCAGAATTCAGTCCCTGATTAAAAATAAAATGTTACAGAGTGTGTCAAAGTGAAAATGTACACACAATGAACATTTTACACTTCCCTGAGGATAGCCTGTACTTCTAACACTTGAGGTAAGAGCACATTAATTTTATACATTTGTTTCTATAACAGAAATCTATACAACTTAGGGTTGTCCACATGTAGCTGTAATGAGGAGACAGAGGCAGGCGGGTCTCTGTGGGTTCCAAGTCAGCCTGATCTACGGAGCCACTCTTCTCACAAGGAAGACTGCCACATGCACAGAGCCCATGGCTCATCTCTTTCTTCCTCAGGGAGCTGCCCCTCTATAACCTTTTCCCAATGTCCTGAGTGAAAGCCTTCCAACGTTGGCCCCCAAATAGTCTAATATCATAACCAATCCAAAGCAGGCTGCAAATGAGGTATTACAGTCAGCTCTGTGAGGCTCTGAGAAGATTTTGTCAATAAAGACAATAAAGGTGCCCTTTCTAAAATATAACAAATAATTTTATGTTCACAACATAACAATGTATAATCAACCAGGCATAATTAATCCCAGCAGAATTCCGGTTGCAGTACACACCTGCATTGTGTGTCTCCCGGTTCTTCTTTCTGAAACACAAGCACACAGACAGGAACGTGAAGACAATAAAGAAGAATATTTTCCTAACCATAAAAATAAATATTATGAAACTGTCTTTGTTGCAGCAATAAATAACACCCGAAGAAAGGAAAATTAGTTCATATTACGGCATAAGAACCACAATGCAGATACTTTCAAATAAATCCAATGGATAACATTTCTGGAAGAAAGAGCGATTCTCTACTGATACCGGAAATCACATGCTAGAATAGAATCGATCACTGAAAGCCTTCACTTTTGAAATTGTTCCTTAACTGTGGCTGCGCCTGGAAGTGGCTGGGACTGCAGGCAGGAGTGAGTAGGAGACGGAACAACAGTGCTGTGCAGCTTTGTGAGTCCCAGCAAGGGAGACGTGGTGGCAGCAGCACCTTCGGTGTCCCCTGCATCCGGTCATCTTTCTCATCTGTGTATTTACATTTTCCAACTCTTACCTTTCCTTAGAAACTTCTACTAAAGACACTGACTTCCCCATTTTGCATAATTACTCAACACATTAGTTTCCACTGATAGCTTTTCGGTAAGGGAAGAGAATACAGTAGTTTCAACCTTACTGAAAAACAGTGGCCTAAAATGCTGGAAACTCAGGACAGGAGCTATAAGAAAATGAAAGTAATGCCATGTATATTGTCATTAATAAATTATAATGTTACAAACTAAATACAATCTAGATGTTTCAGGATACCAGTAAAAATGTCCTTAGGAAGCAAACATGCAACAAAAATTTGGTATAATTTTAAAAATTATATATATATTTTTATAACTCAACCATAGTTTTCCTTTCCTCCTCTCCTCCCAGTGCCCCCCCCCCCATCTACCTCCATCTGCTCACTCCATTGACTCCTGCGTCCGCCCATGGCTATCAACCAAACATGGCACATGATGCTGCAGTAAGATTAGTCACATCCCCTCATATCAAAGCTGGGCAAGGCAACCCAGTATGAGGAATAGGGTTCCAAAAGCTGGCAGAGTCAGAGACAGCTCCCACTCCCACCATTAGGAGTCCCACAGGAAGACCAAGCCACACAACTGTCACACACATGCAGAGGGTCTAGGTCAGTCTGATGCAGCCCGCCTGGCTGTCATTTCAGTCTCTGTGAGCCCCTATGGTTACTGTTTGACTACTGGTGACCATCCGTACTTGTCAGACTGCTGAGAAAACAAGGACAGCTGAATTTTTAGTCATGCATCTCCTTTAGTAAATCTATTTTGGAGATTAATCATTTTCTAGGCATCTAAATACAGGTTCACTAAGGGTTGTTTAGCAAACTAGCAGCTAACTCTGTTTCTCCCCTGCCTACATGGTATAGTTTGGGGCTGTGGATCCACACCTGTGCTGTTTTTTCATTGGCGTCTCATGCTCTGTCATTTCTGGCATGGTGGCAGTAATAGGAACCTACAAAGAGATAAAGAGACAGATACACCAAGGCAGTTAGTCATGCTAGAGTTTGGAGAAACCAAATGGCAATTTTGATTTTAATACCAAAAAGCTAAACAAGCAAACAAACACTTGACCAGGTGTCATAGATTAAAAGGGTTTAAGAAAATAGGATACATGCTTGACATCCCAGTACTAGGAAGGATGAGGCAGGAGGATCATGAGTTTAGGGCCAGCCTGAGCTACATGGCAAGTGTCAGACTGTTGGAGACTGTGGACCCTCAGACCCTGAATTTTCTATGACCCCTTTGCCTGCCAGAGTAAACAGCTTGTTTTCCTGTTCTTGCAGCTGCTCTGAGCATTAGACCCTCATGAGTTCCTGATGGCAGGGGAGTGGTTTCTGGTGGGCTTGCAGCTGAAAAATCCTGAGAGCTAGGGCATGGCCAAGGAGAGCCCTAAATAAGCTGCCCTGGAACACAATAAAGGGAAAATTCTTGTTTCAAGAGTGACCCGTGTCTCTCTCTCTCTGTGTGCGTGTGTGTGTTTCAATCTCCAGTCCCTTGCCTGACTTGTGAGCCAGCCCATAGGACACGTAGTAACACGGAGGCCACTACATCAGACTAGCCCTGGCTTCACAGTAAGATCTCCCTGGTAAAGCTGGTAAAGTGCTTTGGCCAGCATGAACTGTAAGAACACACTGCCAGATCACTCTCCAGAAACAACAGAGGACAAACACTACTATAAGCAGCAGGTGCAAACCATAATGAGGCTTTTTAGCTTCCAAGTGCCAGCAGTCTAATGTTATCAATGGAGACTTCACTACAATGTGGGCGTGAAAGCCCTACTGATATTTAAAATATGAAGGCCTCACTATATAGTCGAGGGATGATCTCAAAACTTATAATCTTCCTGTCTCAGCTTCCTGATTGTTGGGTAGTTACACCACTACCCGGGTAAAAACGAAGTCCTACAGGGAAATGCACACATGAATGGATAGAGACTGGAGGTGGAAATATTAACACAGGACGTTCAGGTATGCAACGTCAGCAATACTACTGTGATTTCTTTCAGTCGTCTCTGGTTTTTCCAGAGTTTGATTATGTAAATATTAATGCTTAACTCTCAGGAACTGGCAACCAACCTTCCACAAGAGGCTGTCAAACTAGGGGGCCTGCTGGACTACAGGGGAGGGGGTATGAATACGACTCCCCCTTTTTCTTCTGGGAAGGGAAAGAAAGTACTAAGTACAGAGGTGAACGCAGAAGGTAGGAGTTTAAAACCTGACTGTGGTGCTTCCTAGCTTTTGGTTAAGGGCCAACTGTTTGCCCCTTTGGAGCCTCAGGCGCTTTATCTGTATAATTGGGTTGTTTTGAGAAGAGAATTAAGTAAGGCAAGAAAGGCACAACACCTTGGGGCCTGGAAGCAATACGGCTGCAGGAAATGTTAGCTCTGGATATTTACAAGATATTTTACAACAAGGAACCTTCCTTCCACAGGAGGGAAGGCAGGCAAGGGACTGATAAGAAGCACTGACTGATGTGCCCGTGGGGAATGTGTAGTCAAAACTCCTCTCCAAGGCTGGTAAGGTGCCTTGGTAGTAAGAGTGCTACCAAGCCTGAAGACCTGAGTTCCATCCCCAGACCCACACTGTAGAAAGAGGAACTGACTCCTGCAAGTGGTTTTCTGACCTCCACACACGTGTCATAGACGCTCGCGCGCGCACGCGCGCACACACACACCACAAAAAAAAGCATTATGATTTTTTTTTTCCAAAAACAACTCATTTCAGCAGCCTGCTCCTGTTCTACCTTCTCCTTCCAATCACTCACAGTGGATAACCACATAACAGCGGTGTGGGGCAGTCAGCACATAAGTACCCTAACAACCCGCTTCCTTTCTCACCCAAGGGCTCGCAGAGTTTCTTCACTTTGGATTCCTAGCTTCCAACTCCTCCTCTTTCTGGTTCAAATCTACCATCTTCTGCCAAAAGACGGCCTCTATAGGTTATGTTCTCTTCTTACTATAAGAAAGAAAGAACAATGAGTGTTTATAGGCACCAGTTAGGCATGAGGTGAAGCTGGCAACTAATGGTATGCAGGCATGTTTGAGAGGGACACAGGGTGATCCTGACGGCTCCCCACCAATGGAGAACATGTGAATGGAATTCCTCTCAAAAGCCTTTATCCAATGGATAATCCATGTTCTACCCTAAAAACAGTGGGTCTTACAGACAGGGAGGGCATGTGGACATGCTCTCTTCTGTTTGCTCATGGTCTCTTGGACCCTCATTACCCATCTCTAAAGACCTCCATGTTATGTCTAATATTAAGACTAGCCCTCAGTTCTACAATTAACTTTCCAGTTCCTATTTCCCTTAAGTAAAATTTTATTTCTTCTCTACATGTGCACGTGTGTGTGGGCACATGTGAGTGTGCAAATGTGCATGCATGAGGACATCCCGGTGTCCAGTTGTCTCGATTGCCCTCTGCTTTATTCTTTTTGAGGCAATGAACCTCAGCTGAACTCAGCTTGCTGTTAACATGGCTAGTCTCCTTAGGCAGTTTGTTCTGGGGATCTGGTCCCTACCTCCAGAGGCCAGAATTAGAGGTGAGCCACTACCTGGTATCTGTGGGGTTTGGAGCTCCGAACTCTGGTCCTCTTGGCTCCCACAGCAAGGGCATTAAGTGCTAAGCCATCTCCCTGCCCTGTTCTGTTTTGTAGGAGTGACTGAAAACTTGATCTGAGGTAGGAAGACAGGCTGAAGGCCTGTGCACTGTGTATGCAACAACACACTTTACAGCTTCAACCAGACTGGCAGGCGAGGAGCTGTAGGAGGGTCTAGGATCTTAAATTTTCTTTGATGGCATCCCTTTTTCCTTTCCTTTCTTCTCTTTCTCTATGCTTAGAATGTCTGAGAAACTTAGCTCTGTTTTAGGGTAATGTTTCCTAGGCATTGCTAATAGGAATTATCGAGGGTACCAGTGCTTTCTATCTGTGAGTTTCATGTCTTTGAGTCTATAGGTGAGAGACATCATGTGGGATTTATGTTTCTGAGCCTAGCTTTACCATACTTAAAATGTTTTACAGTTCCATTCATTTCCAGGGCATTTCATATCTTCATTTTTCTTTACAACTGAGTAAAATCCGTGTGTGTGTGTGTGTGTGTGTGTGCATGTGTATTACAGTAACCATTCATCAGTTCATGGACATCTAGGCTGATTCTATTTCCTTCCTATTGTGAAGATAGCAACAATAAACATGAATGAGCAAGTGTATCTATAATAATAGCATATATAATCTTTTGGGTTTATGCCCAGGAATAGTATATATCAAGAATGGGTCATACATATATGGAAACTCTTTTAGTTTTTTTCTTGTATGTTAGTGTGTGCATATTCATGTACTCGTGTGTGCAGTGTACACATGAGTGTGTTGGTGCACCCACCTGTGGAGGCCACAGGACACCTCTTTCCATTTGACTGCCCCCTTTCATAGCTTTCTATTTTGTCTTCTTGCTCTAGCTAAGACTTTGAAAACTGTATTAAGTAAGTGAAGAAAGTGGACACTCTCTTACTGTTCCTGATTTTAATGGAAATGCTATTCAAGGGAGGGTGTTATTGTAGCCACTATGGAAATCAATGTGGAGGTGTCTCAAAAGACTTCAAATAAGCCGGGGAAGTGACTCGGCGGGCAAGCATAAGCAGCTAAGCTGATTCTCAGCACCCATAAAAAAGCTGGGGGAGAAGCACACGCCTGCAATCCCAATCTGGATGGACAGAGACAGCTAGATCCCACAGGCTCAAGGGTCGAAGTCCAAGTAAAACAACAGTTCCAGGTTCAGTGAGAGACTTTATATTACAAGAATTAAAATAAGAGCCGGGTGTGGTGGTGCACACCTTTAATCCTAGCACTCCAGAGGCAGAGGCGGGCGGATGTTACAAAGTGAGTTCCAGGACAGTGAGGGCTGTTACAGAGAAACCTTGGCCGGGAAACAACAAAACAAAATTAAAATATAGTCAAGGATAATGGAGGAAGGTGCTTATGGTCAACCTCATATGTGCATGCACAGGTAAGTGTACATGCCCACACATGCACATACACATACATATATACATCAGACAACATATGTACACATGCACACAAAAAGATCTAAAAGGGATAAAGATTAGAAAGGAAGAAGTTAAATTATTCCTATTTGTAGATGACATGATTCTATACTTAAAAACCCCATGGAGTTCACACACACACACACACACACACACACACACACACACACACACACACAAAATCTGGATCTGACAAATAACTTCAGAAAAGCATCAGAATACAAAATCTTTGGTATGGTAAGTGATTACATGGATGTAATCATAGCACTGAGGGGGTTGAGGCAGGAGCACCATGAATTCCAGCTCAGCTAGAGTTACAAAGTGAGCGCGTGTCAGAGTCAGAAGCGAGGGGCCAGAGGCTGATGCTGTGCTTTCCTCCCTCGCTCTTGTTTGTGAGACAGACACTGACTGACTAGCATGGCCCAGGGTACTCCTGTCCCTTCCCCCTCAGTACTGGTATTACAGGCATGAGCCCCATGCCTAGCTTTTACATGGGTGCTGGTGATGCGAACTCAGGTCCTCAAGTACGCAAGGCAAGCACTTAACTGATGCAGCTATCTCCCCACCCTCCACAATTTACATTTCTGATGTTAAAAAACAAGAATAAAGGACTACATTACCATAACTCGTCATCTACCTACCAATTAACCTAGTAATGGAAACATGGCTTTTTTTTCCGCTTCTTGGCACTAGTGTTAAATAACTCAGGGCCTTAGATGACTTGAGTCACATACACAGCCCAAATGGTATTTTTAATACAATATTTATATGACTAAATAAACATACTCCTTAAAATAGTTAAAGTGCCATGAATTTTTAAAGATAAATGCTAAAATTTATATTAATAATCTATGAATTATTATATCTGCGTGGAAAAAAATTACTGGGAAAGCAGCCAAGCTCAGTGGCTCATACACGGTGGCTCTCAGAACTCATGCATCTAATCACATGATCTAGGAGGTAAAACTCAAATTCCAAATATTTTAAATACACCATTCAGTGACACATGGACACACTTCTATGACCCAATACTTATCAAACTATAGATATTATCACCAAAGTTCCTTCTTGGCTTTTCCTAGTCAACCCTTTCCAAGTTTAAAGAGTAATTACTGTACTGTTTCCTCCTCTGGATGTTATATAGACGTATTAGCTGAGATTCTCTTGTAGCAAGCTAACACTTAGCTTAATGTAAAAGTATACATTGATTCTTTTATTTACTAAGGATGAACCTAAACTGTGTATGAACCTGTAATACTAGCTTTTTATCCATTTTTCTGTTGACGGATTGCCACTTTGTTCACTGAATGCCACAGGCACAAATTATAAACACTGTAAGGAAAAACAGCCAGCTGAGCACTTTGCTCTGGTTGATGGTATCTGGACAGTTTCCTAACGAACAAATGACATATAAGTTGCGCAGGGGATTTTTTTCCCCCTAAAATAAAGCTCAGGTATGCTCTGATTTGGGGAGGCTACCTTTGCATAGCTTTGTCTAGATTAGTATTTGGACCCATCCCTCCTGCCTGTGAGGTTCCAGGATCTTCTTGTCCTGTTGCTGCCCAAGGCAGGTTCCGCTCTCTGCATCACTGAAACATTGCAGGTTGTGAAATACTGGATTTGCCTGTAGTTTTCTTTGGCCTCTCAGCACATGCTGCCTTTGGTTACCAACTCTCATAAACTGGGTTGCCCGAAACAACTAATGAGTATGGAGTTTCTTTTCTAGGTAATAAAAGTGTTCTAAAACATTACTGTGACAATGATTATATGACACTGTGGACATACTAAACCACTGAATGTTGAAATAGGAGCGGCGGGGCTGCGTCCCCAGCACCCCGGCCGCCTGCTAGCTCATGCCTGAAATAACAACACACAATTGTATTCTTTTAAACACTGCTTGCCCATTATATCTAGCTTCTTCTCGGCTAACTCTCGCACCTGGACTAGCCCATTTCTAATAATGTGTGTAAGTACCCCAAGGTACGCTTACTGGGAAGATTCTAGCCTACGTCCATCCTGAGTCGGAGCTTCATCGTGTGTGTCTCTGAGAGCAGAGCTATCTCGCGTCTGTCTCAGGAGTCTTACCTCACTTCCTCTTCCTCCTGTTTACTCCTCCCACCTATGTTTTAACCTATCAGGGCAAGCAGTTTCTTTATTGCTTAACCAATGAAATCAACAGATTGATATATGACACTCCCACATCAACTGAAGTGGGTGCTGAGTGAAGGAGGTATACAAATGACACCTCGACAATCTTTTCTCTCTCTCTCTCTCTCTCTCTCTCTCTCTCTCTCTCTCTCTCTCCCATCACAGAGTCTGGACAACAAATGCTCAAGCTAGCTCTCCCAGGACTTGACAATTAACCCTTTTTTCAGAGTCTGCTAAGAATGCCATCACCCCATACAACAGGAAGTAATTTTAAGGGTGTGGGTTTAGTGGGATGGGCTGAAAGTTGTTACTGGTAATGGTCAGGAAAAAAAGCTGAACATAGGAGATTAGATTCAGGGATCTTGTTCTGAAAACAAAAAGGGGGACACAGAAATGACAGGATAAAAGGGTAGATTACTGAACCTAATTTAAACCAAAAGAACAACTACTAGTCTTAAATATTTTACATTGGTATGGATTTTTTTTATATTGATACAAATTTGAGGTTATTTTTGTTATGCTGTATGTGTTTCTACTCTTGCTTGAGATATTTTTGTATATTGATAAACATTTAAGGGTTTTTTGTTAGAACCTTCTGTACATACATATCTACTCTTGTTGAAGGTATTGTACTATACAGCTAATTTAACAATGCAATGTAAATTTCTAGTCCTTGAAAGTTATTATAAACTATTTAGGATAATAAAGAAATACAGGTCAATAGTCACCTATCACAATCAAATGTATAGTCATGTTAGCTAAGTTT